GAGGGTGAGGAGGAGGAGGAGGAGGAGGGGGGGGTGCTGATGATGATGATGATGATGATGATGACCATCATGCTCAGTTGCAGCACTGCCAATACTGCTACCAATAACAGCGGTACGACCGGTAGCAGCAAGGGCGCTACACAAGTAGCACTCAACTCCCTCCAAGCCTCTGCAGTAGGAAATCCACAATGTGTTGGTTGGTGAACCGCTCCCATACGCCGTCACATCCCAGCAGCAAATAACCTTGGTGCCACAAGTAAACAAGAAGGGCCTGGATTTGGAAAGGCAGACCGCAGTATGTCTTCTTCATACAAGGACGTCGCAGACTAGAAACAACATGTGATTCCAAAGTCTTGTGTGTGTGTGAGTGCGCAGAAGTCCGGCCCGGTTGAAGCTATCCTCATGTCTGCTCTTTCCTGCGGATAACATCTATCTCTTTTGCGGCTACGGCACGATCGCGCTCGATCAGCTGGCGACAACGCACCTGGCCGAAAACTGACCAGTCGATGTCTAGACAGGACTCACAGAAAAATCATCGGTCAGCTGCTACACAGAAGAAGCTCCGGCGATGAAATTGGGCCGGATCTACATTCATCACACATCCCTACCATAGGCACGACGCAAAGCTGCACAGAATGGCATAGAATGGATGCATGACTACTCGAACAGTCAGCAGAGTCTACCGTGACAGAAACAGTCGAGGGCTTCTTGCTCCAGCAAACATGAGACAAGCTCTTCAACCCCAAAACCTAAACCCTAAACCTAAAAAGGCACCAGGAAGTCTCCCGTGATGACACAAAAGCTCTTGCGTCCAGCTGAGGCCCACAAGTCTTTGCAAAGCATCAACGACGTACGGTTTAGGGTTTAGGGTTTAGGGTTTAGGGTTTAGGGTTTAGGGTTTAGGGGTTAAGGTTTAGGGTTTAGGGTTTAGGGGTTAAGGTTTAGAGTTTAGGGTTTAGGGACGCACGCCTCCGGCAGTGGCGAGATCAGCTGCGCCTCAGGCGCTAGCTTCAGGTTCCTGCGCAAAGAGCACGAAAACGAAGATGCAACAAATGCATGACACAACGCGATAACCAGATAACAGAAAAAGTGCCAGATTAAAGATACCAGCCAGCACCAACACACACAGACTGGAATGGCGCAAACGGCAAGCTACGCCGCTCCAGCACCGCGGCATCTTCAATTTACTGGAGGTGCCCTAAGCCGCAAACCCTACAAGCTCTAAACCAAAACCCTACACTCCAAACCTTGGAACCTAATATAGGGACCCCTATAATTACCTATACTACTTTGGGGGTTCCTTATCATAACTATAGTATAATGGGCCCCAAAACCCTGTTCTAGTGATTAAAGCCCCTACGTTAAACCCTCAAATCTAAATCCTCAAACCGGAAACCCCCAACACTGAAACCTGAAACCCGAGACCCTGAAACCTCAAACCATCCCATTCTGAACGACTCGGAGCCGGTCTTTTTGTAGAAGAGGTCACCGATCGCTCTAGACCTCGCTGGCAGTCTGCGGCAAAGGATGGTCAACATGAAGCCGCACGCGGCCTAGACTTTCTTGCCAGGATTGTAACAGTGAGTGTTGTTACTGCTATTGCCAATACCAGTACTACGAACACTCACCCCAACCTGGCCATTATGACATGAAGTTGGAGTTGCTTTCAGTAGTCTGGTTGACAGAATCATCAACCCAGTACAAACTCTTGCTCCAAGCTCAATGCTGCGAAGTTAGTTCCGGAGAAGGCTGCTCAGGACGACTTCCACTGCTGTCGGTGTCTCCAAAAAGACATGACCTGTACGCAATGCTTCTCATTGCTGGCTGGAAGGCTTTCCCGCATCATCCCAAGATCCACTGACTCATTGACCCCAAAACCCAAACACGCAGCAATATGAGATCTTGAACTATATGCCAAAACGCAAACCCGGTACAGATCCATGAGCCCCTGCCCCCACCACTCCCAAAACCACACAACTAGGTGCCCAGCAGATTCAAGTCTCCATTGATCCTGCCTTCCCTGTGAGCGGACTGCTTGGAAGTGGGAGAGGAGCCAACGATTTAGGGGTACGGGAAAGCCATAATCCCAAACTCAAACCTGATGATGGAGGGGAAGATGATGCGTACGGCCATGAAGACGACGATGAAGATGGTGATGATGTAAATGAGGATGATGATGATAAGGAGGATGATGATGATGATGGGGAGGATGATGATGATGATAAGGAGGAGGATGATGAGGATGATGATGATGATGGTGGTGGTGGTTATGATGATGATGATGACGACGATCATGGTGATGATGATGGTGATGATGATGATGATGATGATTATGGCGGTGGTGCTGGTTATGATGATGATTATGATGGCGATCATAGCGATGATGATGATGATCATCATGGTGATGATGATGATGATGATGATGATGATGATAATGAAGGTGATGATGATGATGATGATGATGATGATAATGATGGTGATGATGATGATGATGATGATGATAATGATGGTGATGATGATGATGGTGATGATGGCGATGATGATGATGATGATGGTGATCATGACGGTGGTGACGTTGTTGAAGATGTTGAAGATGTTGTTGTTGTTGATGATGATGATGGTGATGATGATGATG